TTTTATCCTCCCATTAATATAGCCTATCTTCCCCCTTGCAGTGATGTATAATTTGATCCCTCTTGACCACTCTAGGTAATTTAAACTATCAAAAGGGACAACAGCCATAGGAAATGATAGGTCACCCCCACCCATTCCATTCAGCATTGAGGAAACTCCAGATGTGGCTGAATCTTCACTGCCCATGATATCAGAATAAAAACGAAACAGCAACCAAATGAGCACTGCCGTACAAGGCTATTGCAGAAATAGGTCCTTTTGACCTCCGGTTTCACTGGGAGCAAAATCAGAACACTGCTGTTGTAGTACTGGAACAGGTCCTTCTGACCTACGGTTTCACTGAGAACAAAAAAACTGAACACTGCTGTTGCAGTACTGAAACAAGTCCTTCTGACCTATGGTTTCACTGTGAACAAAGTTTGAACACTGCTGTTGCAGTACAAGAACAGGTCTGTATGACCTACGATTTTGTAGGAATCAAAAACAAAGCACTGCAGTTGCAGTACATCACTAGGTTTGAATGACCTAATCAGTAGGCCTGATAGCCAACCAGTCAATGAGATCAACAGGGTAGCCGAACAGTCAATCAATAAGATTAATACAATATCAGCTTCAGGGCATCAACAGTCCATAATACAAAAAAAAAACAGCTGAATACAGTTACTTTGTTAAGGAATACAGTCAATCAACAGTCCATCAATCGGCTGAACAGACAATCAGTAGGGCAGCCGAACAGAAGATGACCAGTACCTCTTTTAGTTTCAGATGATAGTCTCTCTGTAAACCAGAACTCTCTCTACGAACCTCAAACAATAGCCTCTCTATAGTCGAGCAGACAAGAGGTACAACTTTTGGGCGGGAAGATGAAAAGACTCTGTTACTTCTGGGTCGAACTGATTACACCAGATTAGGAGTTCGATGGAGACAGCTTTGGGAGATGAAAGGTCACTATAACTTCTGGGTCGAACTAGATGCAACAGCTTAGCATTTCGAGAGATGCAGCTCTGGGAGATGGAGAGACCCTCTGCACGACATTGAACAGCAGGTTTGCTTGACACCACCCTTGAGGCCTGGACGACTTGCTCTGATACCATGTTGAGCAAGAGCAAGAGATGAGAGGAGAGAAGAGAGAGGAGAGGAGAGTCGAGTGGACTGAAAACCCTCCAGAATACAGGGGGCGAGTGTAAGAGTTATTATTTATACTGGCCCAGTCGTACAATATAAACAAGAGAGAAATTACAACAGTACCCTTGTGATACTAAACCTGAGTACACAAAACAACTGTCAACAAACATCTTAGCCTTTCTCCTGTTATCAGTTCTCTCCTCTTACTGCTTATTCCAGTTGCTCTGGAAGCTTTTGAGTGAAGACTAGATTATAAACATGAACTGTACTCTTACAATCGCAGAGTCACTTGTCTATAATAATTATTTTGCAAAAGAGGAAATAATGGAAGGAGAAATAAAATTGTAGAAAAGAGGATTATTTGTAGCCTGATTGAGTTTCCCATAGTATACTTTTTCTTGTAGGTGCATCATTGGACTGGTTTCTTGTGATGTTTATGATTTAAGCTTCTGATTG